TTAGCGTTTTGTGTAATGTGTCTACTGCTAGGCGAAGACACTTTATTCCTTGAACTACTCATATGAAAATAAGGTTATCAACGTAACAATATTAGTTGCGTTAACTATCAACTGGGCAACCTGTTACATTGGTACTGGAACCGAGAACCCTCTCTTTAGTGAGTATTAAATTGGCTTTTTGGTTGTCCGAAAAGATTCCCTCTGAAGTACACGTTTGCTCCTATTTATATTGGTTATTTTTGTAAGTGGTTATGAGTGCTTCCTTTGCTGAATTAGAAGGCCTTATCAAAGGGTTGACCGAAGTTGTAAAGAGGCAAAAGGATCTTATTCAGACTCGAGCCGGTTCAGCTAATGTTCGTTTCAGGGTTTGTCCGTTTTGGGAAAAAAGCGATTTTTCCCCATTTCCCATATTTCCCGGAAACTCCGGGGAAATTTCCCACATTTTTCCCACATTTTTGTCGAGTTCAGTCCAGCGTTTCGGCATTACACGGAATATGCGGTGGTCTAAATATGCGCCTTTCTTGCATTTACAGGAAAATTGGCACTTGGGCGTGTAGTCCGCACTGCGGCGATGAGTAGCCGCCCTTACGTTTCATCTTATATAAAGGATTGAACTCGATGACCATGTCTTGTGGTGTTTAATTGCTACTAGCAATAAGCCTACTAGCCGATCTACTGTAGTTCAATTTTTGAAAGCTCTCTTCTTAATGGTGGGAGGCCGCGGTCGTCCATGCAAGGGTAACTTCCGGCCAGACGGCTTTTTCGAGTTGCTGTCGCTGATAATTGAGTTTAGCAGTTGATAATTTTGCTACGCGCTTTGGACAATTGTTGATCAACTCGACCTGTCACTCGCACTGCAACCCGTATAACTCAATGGTCAAGGCCTGACCATGAACCTGTGAATATTATGGCGAGCGCGGTGTTAAAACGCGCTCATGATTTGGCGCGCGCCCGGTAGAAGGAAATATTAGAGTCGGCAGTTTCTGGTCATTTCTATAAGCGAATCCTTCGCTATTCTCATCAATAAGCTACAACATTATGTTGGAACGATCAACAAAAGCTTTTGAAGTGAACTAATGCAAAAAACAGCAGAAAAACGGAAATTTCCCTCGGGAAAAGAAATTCTTTTTTCCCTCCCGGGAAATCGGGAAATTTCCCGGGGGAAATTTTTCCCTTTGGTTGATACTCTGAAACTTCCCAAATATGACACTGATAATAATGATGTTAAAGGGGATTGGGAAAGTTTTGTTATTGAATGGGAGAGGGTGATCCTTCTCACCGGTGATATGGCTGATAAGACTAAAATGGAAATGTTCCAGTATGGTAGGCTCAGCAAAATCAGTAGCTGACGTTTACGCGAAGTCTGCGAAGCCTACTTATGCTGGTTTGAAGAAGTTTTTGTATAAGGCCTATGGTCTGACTGACAGCAACGTAAAGTTTTGGCTTTCAAGAAGTATCGATCGTTGAATTTGAAGCCTCAAGCCTCAAGCTAAGCTTGTTTCCCTCGTCAGCAGGCGATCGTATCTTGTGTTCTACGAATACGTTGTCTCTCATCCCTGATCTGCAACGAGGATCTATACCAGAACCTGGGTTTGCGTACAAAAGTAGCACGCAGACGCACAGGCAAGTTGGCTTGCCAACTGACATCCATAGTGCGAGGATAACCTTTCCCAGTGACTTACACTGAATAGACAAGTGGGAATGCTAGGGTTGCAATTTGGACTCCAACGGAGCTCAACTTGGGAAGTTGGAAAGCCAATTTCCACGGCTCGTTAAAATTCAGCTTTTTCAGATCGCACATGCGTGATGTGCGTGAGAAATTCGGGCGCACTCTTCCAGGGGCTCCCACCCGTGGAACGCGCATATGCCATCATGGCATTTATTGAGGCCATGGGTAAAGCAGGTGCTCAACAGTGTTGGGCCAACACTTAGTACTAAGCACTTCGGCTTCCGTCGGCGACCTTGCGTAACATTGGAAAAAGAGCACGTGTCGCGAATCGATCAATCGCGGAGGCGACACTTCTGCCAGACCCTCCCATAGTTGGGGTCGATTCGGGACGACGAAACCATTCTCCATGTGAATCAGATGATGTGACATGGCACCCACCTCGTGGTGTTAGTAATAACACCCGTACTGGCAGTCTCAACAACACGTGCATACGTGCGCGAACACGTGGCTTACCTCACGCACACACACAGCAAATTCACGCAAGTTTTGTGACACAGCAGACAGCCTTCAATGCTGAGCCTTGGATTCTCCCTCGACATACGAAGTGCATAAATCAATTGGAAGCTACTGGCTGCTTTCTTGAGCAGTGAACCTTAATTGTTTGACAATGTTCATGATCAGCATAAGCACCGCAGTTAGCTATCTGATCGTCTCCGCCTACGCCGAAGCCTTGTTGGTAAATGACACTTCCATCAACCTGGACGAAGGTCATCAGCTCCGTTCCCTCCGTCTACCCGTTGTCCATGAGAGGCCCCCTAACTGCTTACCTCCAGCAGTCCAATTTGGCAACAAGGACTATTGTTGGTTCGACCTGGAGAATAAAGCCAGGACTGATCGCCATGCGGGTTTGCTCGTTCTCTCCAACGGCGCTTATAGAAATTTTTTTTCTACTCTGGAGCTTGAAGTCCTCTGGGCAAACTCGAAACCATACGATGTTGGTGTCTGGGCAGATGGGTATACATTCCGACACATTGACTTAGAATATGGTTTGACGCTCGACCTGTTATTTTTTGTTCCCACGGTTAGTCTTAGTGGTGGTGAAGACGTCCACGGCACAAAGCAACTCAAGTTCGATACGGTTCTGTTGACTACCGTATCAGTACCTCACGTTGGCACCGTTAGAGCGGAGGATAAACAAAGTGCCTTCGCTGCAGTACAAGTAGAGGAGCTTCCACATCCACCGACTCCGGATGATCATCCCGCGTTCCTCAGAGCAAAGCTGCAAGCGCAAAACAAGGCCCTGAGTGTGGGGTCCGATATAACGTTTCAGGTAAACATTTATCCTGTCAACGCTAAGTTTGAATGGTGGATCTACGAATGTATCGTCAATGTCGATATCACATATGTAAAAGATGGTAAGGATTTCTACTATAAGCAGGAGATCATCATCTTCCGGGAGACGTCCAAGAGATGAGCATCATTTTTCTCGTCATTATGATAATAACGTTGTCAGCGTTCAGTTCCATCAGTGAGAGCCCTTCATTGTTATTCTTCATCGTGAGTATAGTCCGTCATTATTTCTCTCTGTAGTATCATTGATACTTGAGCTGCCCCTCGCAGATCTGTCCTGATCTCGTCAACAGGGCTATGTTAGTCAACATCTCTCATCCGAATACAGTAGACAATTCTGTGCATACGTATTTCTTCGTCTGTGTGCTGTACGTGAGAAAACTGCACGCGTACACACAGACCTGTCTTCGCCTTGCGATCGATACGATTGGTTCTGACAGTCTACACTGTACGTCCCTAACCTATAAGATCCCCTTGTGTTACACCAGTTACGGGACATATGTATATGCGTAAGAGGATGAATTACGTGTAAGAGTACGGTTGCCAACCATGTCGGGCGCTGCGCAACTATCATACGATGCATGCATCCATCTGTGGGAATGCGTTGCCACAGTCACTGGCATCGACTACCTTTAGTGTCAACCGGCGACTCAATCACGACTCCTAGTATATCCGACCACATTAGGATCGTTAGCACGCATGCCCCGTATCTGGTTGTCCTGGTGTCAATTTGAATAGAAGAAGCATATGCTTCCGAAGCTGATCGGTAGCTTATAGGTTCTGACGTTCTCATAATAGAGATTAATGGGCTCCGTACAAATTGGCCTGTCGTGCTTTAGTCAGTGATTTGAGGTAGGTAACATTTTGCTAGACTGTTCCGAGACGCAAAACCTGGGAGGGGACACCGCACTCGGCATGTGCGCTTACATTAAAATGTGATCTAATGACCAGATTCAATGATTGAATCTGTCCATCAGATTGTCAGTATCCTTTAACTGTGAAGCACTGTGATGTAGACTGGACCTCTGTACCTCTGAACGGCTCGCCGCGGTAGGCGCATTCTAGCATGTCCTTCGATGGTTGACGAACCATAAGTTTAATGTTCTTTGATGGATCTCCATTAGCGATTGAGTACAGAAGAATCTGGCAGTGCCCTAATCCCTCATGATGAGGGTCTTATCAGCGTGTAGCGATGGTGCCGCGGTACGCGGCCCGCGAGGCTCACGCCATGGAATTAACGGTTTCCCCTTCGGCACGCGTGCACAGCGATCGGCTACTAAGCTGAGTCGTGCAATCGCACATGAGATTCGCCAGTTAGAACCTATCTGTTGGATAGCTAGTTCGCACTGTGAGAACCCCTCTGAAACTCCTGTCGTTATGATAACTATATTTGTTATCATGTAGTGAAACTCAAGGCTAAACTGAGCTCATCAAGCTCAAGAATTGTTCTCGAAACGTGGAAGGTTTTCACGGCTCATTATAGATGGGTAGCGTAAAGTTTCTTTACGGTTCACGTTGCGGCGTGCGTAACGTAAGCAACTTACGATTAAGAAAAGGCCTTACGACTTTATGACTGGTGCTGAACTTCTTTCTCCGAATTTCGGCGGAAGATTTGCTGTGATGCGCTCCACGATAGCTGAAATAGTTGTTAAACTCATTCCTTGTGGCTCGGATTCAGCGGAACCGCTGGGAGAGTAACATTTGGTTTCGCATTTGCCCCTCGTCTCCTTCGCAAATTCCGTCCGTCTTACTCGCAGGCTGGCCCGGAACTGCCAAGCTGGCCTCATTCACGGATTGGCATTCACATGAAATAGAATTAGGCGACATGAATGATCAATCCTCATTTTGTCTTCTGCATCTCCGTAAGACCCGCTACGGCGCCGTAGTCTTACGGTACGGGGCTTGAAGCGTAACCGTGAAAGTGAACCGTAACGGCCGTAACGCAATTCTGCCCATCTATACGTCTGATCGTTGTTAAGACGGTCTTAACCAATGATACATCTGTCCCCAGATTCCAGACCAAATCTTCCTCGCATCTCATGTGTTCCACAGCTACATATGTAGCTAGCTCCGTGCATATTCTCTCACACTGGCAGAAAAGAAGTCAGGTAAGAGCGAGCAAACGAGTGGAGACTAGTAGTAGACTCATACCTCCGACAATAACAACTAGTTCGGCTCCTACTTGTACATACGTGGGCGTACTACGTGAGCAGTACGTAGCGTACGTGAGCGTACTACGTAAAGTTATGGAGCAGTACGCATGCGATAGTACTCACGTACACAGTAGAGCATACTTATCAACAATTACGCTGCACTGCTCTATCGCATAGCGACCCTTATACTTCTGCGAGTGTAACTTTACATATTCATCGTGATGATCTGTTAGCTTTTGTCTCTGTTATTCTTCTCCCTTTCATATGAGCAATTCTCTCTTATTCGTCGGTCTGTGCTCCTTGATTGCCTTATCTCAGGGTGACAGTCCGCACATCCGAGGCGTATTCGACAAGATCACTGACTTGAGTGGTATAAACGCTTCAAGTGTATTCGCTCAAGCGTTATGGTTCTCTTTTGAGGTTCTGTCTATACTCCCGATGAGCGCTCTGAACATTTCTCCCGCTTCAAAGATCAGCTGGATGAGGTGCTTCTGAAGGAAGAACTACTAACTGACTCCTTGATTGAGCTCTTCAACAACACTGAGCCGGCTTTATTGCAATCCATGGTTGGCAAAATCAACTCGATGCAGCAGTCGTGGACGGCTTCCAAAGATCAGCCACCTTTTCAGGGTACGCGATGAACTTCATGCTCAACATTACCTCGAGCGGCAAAGTCGAGAACCAGTGCTACTATTCGACAGGTATGTCAATCAAAGATGTCCCC